CATAAATTACCTAATGTTGTCAGTTAAACACTTCATTCTCTTTGGATTTTACTTACGTTGTCCCTCGAGAAAAAATACCACAGTTTGAATTACGAAATTATTCACGGATAAATGTCATTACGTAACAAAAAACACTAGAGCGAAGCGATTTAGGCATTAAAAGAGCTGCTTAAGTTACTTTTAGCCGCAAGAAATTACTTTTACCCTCAAGAAAATGTTAGATAGTCGATACCTTCGTTTAAAATTTCCATCGACCCTTCTAACATCACTAAAGCGAATGAAAACCGATGTGACCTTGTCCCGGGGCCATCTTTTGTCGTTTTGTTGAGTATCTGCTGTTATCGTGTCGAGTTTGTTGGATGTTTCCCTGTCCTTCGCTGTTCAGATTAAAGATGAAGGCTTTGACGGAATAGATAGCAGGTTTCGGAAGAAAGTTTAAATTTATGCTGTAATTATAGGTTTAGCGCTTAACTTAGTGTCTGCGGTACGGGAGGAGTGACATTGATCTATCTAAATATAAAAGGAGAAACTGGCTGACTTAGTGACATATCAACGCACAGCCTAAACGGCTAAACGTAGGCACTTGAATTTGGAAGGGACGTAGCTTAGGTACCTTATAGTCTTTTTCACGTAAGATGATCCGTATGACACTTTAAGGTTATCCATATTACGCATACTACATATGCAGAATATTTTTGAAAAAATATTTGTATTTTATTAGCAATATAATAAAAATAACTTAAAGAAAGAAAGAAAAACATTTATTTGGTTCAAACTTAAAAAATATAACACACAGAATGAGATAACAAAAAACAAGTATAAGTTAGAACCAAAATTGGCCACCGCTCAGCATGTGTCATGCTCTGGAGTGTAATAAAACCAGAACACGACGCTGTTATTCTGCGGTGACCATTTTTGGAGAGAGCTGGAAACAAACATCAAACATGAGATGAGACAATACACAAAAAACAAACAAAAGAGAAAAACAAAATAAAAAATAAAAATTACAATATTAAAAGAAAAAAGTAAATAGTAAATAGAGGGCGCCACCATCACATACGGGTTTTAGCAAATTTGGCGAAAATGCACAAGTTCACCGCCATCAACAAAGAAGAAGTTGTTTTGACATTTGCAAGAGGGCGCCACCATCAGTTCAAATACTAAATGTATTACTTTTCTCTATGACTAAAACCAACTAAAACCACAGAATAATAACAAGTAGGTACTACGCTAAAACTTAAATTACATTTTTTAAAAAACTAATAAAAAACAACACGGAGGTACAACTTCACTTTAATTCGGAGATCGCGACAACAACAGTAAATTTAACTTAAACGAAAAGCAACATGCCGTGGCTATAAGTCACAGTCCTGAAATAAAATCTAAAATTGGGAGAAAAAGAAAACAAAAAAAAAAGAAAAAAAAAGTCAATCAGTCATGTCAATCATTCATCCGTCAAGTGTCAACATTTTATTTTTACTGCCGTTTGAGTGGGTGATTTTTAGTTTTGCAATAAATAAAAAAATATGTGCATGAGCATGCGCTGCCACGCAGATGGAAAGTGACGTGGCAAAAAGTTTGGAGCATAAAACGTCATGGGACAGGGGCACCAAACGTTCTCCCCTCGCCGTAAGCATTCAGGGCCTCCGTCGGTGTTGGAATTACAATGTTCATACACGTGTCGCGCATAACCTAGACGTGAGTACATTTTGAGCATTTGACTTCTGTAACTCTATTATGTAGGTTTTAAGCTTGTTTCTTAATGTACTCTTAATTTTCAGGGCGCGCATTGGCGGTGGTAGGTCATTCCAGCACCGCGTGGCTGCGAATCTAAAGGATCCCCTGAAAGCCACTGTGCGATGTTGAGGAGTGAGAAAGGTGTGTGTGCACATTCTTTTATTATATCTGTTGCTATCCTGTGCCCAAGCCAACTTCTCATACAGATAAATTGGCCTTTTTGTGTTAATGACTCCAAAAAGCATGATGGTCAAGTGCAGCCGCCTGCGTGCTTCCATTCTCATCAAGTTTGCCGAATTTAGAAAAGGGGACACATGTGTNGGTGTGTATGCACATTCTTTTATTATATCTGTTGCTATCCTGTGCCCAAGCCAACTTCTCATACAGATAAATTGGCCTTTTTGTTTTAATGACTCCAAAAAGCATGATGGTCAAGTGCAGCTGCCTGCGTGCTTCCATTCTCATCAAGTTTGCAGAATTCAGAAAAGGGGACACATGTGTCCTCGGGGGAATATGAAAGCAGAAACGTGCACAAGAGTTTTGAACTCTCTGTATGAGTCTTGCAGTCCTTGCTAGGAGGCATGGTCCGTAAACCGTGTCACAGTAATTAAGCTTTGACAGTACCAGTGCCTCACAAAGTGAAATTCGAAGCCTTTCACACAAGTACGGTCTAATACCTTACAACAACCTCAACCGATAGAAGCAGTTCCGAACGCAGTCAGCTATAATGGCTCTCGAATCTCAAGTGGCCATCCATAATGAGACCAAGGTTCCTGGCCCACTCAGATACTATCCAATTCACGATTTAGCAAAGCTATTGCGCTCGCATGACCGGCTGGATTGAATGAGACATAGACTTGCAGGTCATCAGCGTACAAGTGGTAGTTACAGTGTGTGATTTGAGTAATTATATCTGCGCTATACAGTATGTAGAGGATGGGTCCTAATATTGAGCCTTGTGGCACACCGCGAGTTACCACCTGAGGTTGGGACTGTGACCTAGTACCATTTGCGTGTTTCAGCTCAACATATTGCCGCCTTCCGGACAGATAACTATGAAACCAACGGACAGTACCCGGGTCGAGACCATAATAGCTCATCTTGGACAGCAGCAAGGGTATATTAATTGAATCGAAGGCCCTAGAGAAATCAAGCAACAGTAGCAAGGTGACCTTCCCCTGGTCCTGTGCAGCCAGGATATTATCAACAACATCTGCCAAGGCTGTTGCCGTCCCACAGCCTCGCCGGAAACCTGATTGATAGTGTGGAAGCATATTGTTTTCTTCAAGATATTTGGTTAGCTGATCACACACTATCCTCTCAAGCACCTTGGAGAGGCATGGGAGGATACTTATTGGCCTGAGATCACGCAATGATGTTGGGTGGTTATTCTTCGGAATTGGTTTTATAAGTGCTATTTTCCAACTATCAGGAAATTTATTGTCAAGGATGGATCGGTTGACTATTGCAGTAATGGCATCCAGTGAATGCGGCAGAGTAAGCAACAGCATGTCAAGTGACAGGCCATCATGCCCCTGAGCATTAGATTTGAGTCCATTGATAGTTTTCAAGACTACTTCTGGACTGACAGTCCGCAATGAGAAATGTGCAGAGCCACAGTGCCTATGGTGCTCAAAGAATGTGAGCTGTGACATTGACACTCCATCAGCACCTGGCACATCCAAGAAATGTAAATTTGTTTGGTGTGCATCATTAAACATGGAAGGTAAGTCCTCTGAATTCTTTCTGTTAGTTAAAACTCTATTCAAGTTTTTCCACAATTGTTTAGAGTCACTCATACAGCTATTGATGTGCTTGGTGAAGTAACTTGACTTTTCATGCTCTATTGCACCCACGACCACTTTTTTCATGTCAGTGTAACTCTTTTTCAGAGCTGGGGTTCTGTGCCGCTTGTACTGGGCATGAAGCCTGTCCCTTATGCCCATCATTGACTTGATTGTGTCGGTAATCCACGGATGAGGTGGGTGCCTGAACTTTCGAGTTTTGATTGGGGCATGCAGGTCAAACAGACCAACAATACAGAAGGTGAAGGCCTCAACTAATTGGTCAACATTGAGAATATGGTCGAAGTTCTGCCAGCTAATTGCCTCAAGGTCAGTATTAAACAGATTTGGTAATATGTTTTTTAAGGGCCTATATGTAACCCAGTATGGCCCAAGTTTTTCCTTTTTGACTTTAAACTCGGTCAGAAGCACAGCATGTCCACCTAGTCCAGGGGAATGCTTTACCAGAACACTATGAGCTTTCAAGTCTGTACATATCACATCAATAAGAGTGGCACTGTGGTCTGTGAAGTGGGTTGGCTCAGAGATAAGCTGATTCAACTTGAGTGTGTGTAAGAATTGTGTGAATTGCTTATATTTGCTACCCTCTATGTTGAGTAGATTTATATTGAAATCTCCCGTTAGTATCAACCCATCTACCCTAGGGAAGGAGGTAATAGTCTCTGTAAGGTTATCAAGAAACATGTCAACATCCTGCCATGGCGGTCTGTACGCGGTGCCGATGACAATATTCTTATTGACCAAGCGCACAGATAACCACATTTGCTCAACTGAGGAATGGGCATTAGGGTGCTGACACACTCTGACATTTAATCCCCTACGAATATAAAAGCCTACTCCTCCACCCCTGCCTCCCCTAATGTGAGTTGGTCTCGGGACATGTTTCAACTGGTAGCCTGGCAGTTTAGGAGCCCTCTCGCTCTCCCCCTCCCTAAGCCAGGTCTCATTAATAGCCAGTATATCTGGGGCTATACCACCCACTGCAACAATAAATTCTTCATGCCCAGTACATAGTGATCCCGCATTATAGAAACCCACCAACAAATTAGTTAACCCAAGGCCTGTGACTGTATAGTTATATAAGTATAAATACCACTCATTAGGGATCGACAAAGGACAGAAATGACATAACTAACTAACTTACATAATATTATGGCTAAGATTGCACTCAAAACCATTGAAAAATTAAAATTGAATAGAGTAATTAAAATGAAGTTATCATATTGAGAAATAAGTAATATTGAGGAATTCAGTATAAAAAAAGCACAAAAGTATGACAATATTGTGTAATTGTTTAACAGTCTTAAAATACTAAGCATGGTTTCAATGTCTTTGCAGTTCAGTCAGCTTGATGGAATGCCAAACACTCTTTCAAGATCTTCCATCGATCGAAGCTGGTAGATTTGAGCGCCATCGCCCCTGCGCACGAGCACACGGCCCCGCCTCGTCCAGCAGTACCGCCATTGTGACCTACGGCACTCCTCGCGCGCCCGGTGGAAGAGCAGGCGGTTGGGGCGAGTCAACCTTTCGTTGACGTAGACCCTGCCGCCACCGTCGCCCGCCAGGCCGCGGCGCACGCGCGCGGCGCGCAGCAGCTCGTCGCGCAGGTGGCGCCGCGCCAGCCGCACCACCAGGCGGCGCGCGCGCCCGCCCGCCTCGGCCGGCGGCGCGCCCACGCGCTCCGCGAACACCACGTCCCGCTCGTCCAGCGCCACGCCCAGCCGGCCGGCCAGCACCGCGACGCTGTGCACGGCGTTCTCCCCCTTCTCCTCCGGGAGGTGGCCGATCTCCAGGTCCGCGAGCAGGGCCTCCTGGTCCCGCTCGTTGAGCTCGAGCCTGAGCTCGGCCACGGTGCGCTCCAGCTGCGCGCTCGCCCCCGGCCCGGGCGCCGCCCCGGCCTCCAGCCGCTGCTCGAGCGCGTCCATCCGCGCCGCGCCGGCCGAGGCGCCACTCTGCACGGCGAGGTTGATCACGTGCAGGCGCTGCTCGACGGCTCCGACCTTCTCCTCGCAGCGGATCACCCGGCCCGTCAGCTCCCTTATCTCGCCGTACACGGCGTCGATCCGGGTGTGCATGGCCCGCACCTCCTCCCGGAATTGCCTCATCTCAAGGACGAAGGCGTGGAAGTCTGGCATCTCTACAGTCGCGTTGTGCGCGGTGTCGTCTAACGCCGGCCCCTCAAGCATGGAGACGTCCAGGCCGACGGGGCTCATGGAGGAGGCGCCCCGCCGCAGCGTGACGCCGTCGTCGACAGCGGCCCGGACCGGCGTGTCCGTATTGTCGCGCTTGGGCTGCGCGCTGACGCAGGCGACGCACCGCCACCGGTCCCTATGCTCCCCGACCAACGTGCCATGGAAGCGCTGCTCAGTAACGCCGGCGCACACCAAATCGTAGTGCTTTTTACACGTATGGCATGTCAAACACCTCCGTCTGTCCTCAATCTTGCGGAAACATCCGCCGCACGTTTTGTTTTTTGGTGACATGGTTTTTGTGAGTGTAAACAAAAACGAATAAACAATTGTAGTGATGTGTGTTTAACTTGATATCGCTTCAAAACCCAGTCTTTGTGTAGTATTTGTGAGCGTTTATTTGATGTAGTAAAGTACCTTATATGCCTGCCACTTAAACTTGAGTTTTCTCACTTGCTANAGTAAGCAGCAGCATGTCAAGTGACAGGCCATCATGCCCCTGAGCATTAGATTTGAGTCCATTGATAGTTTTCAAGACTACTTCTGGACTGACAGTCCGCAATGAGAAATGTGCAGAGCCACAGTGCCTATGGTGCTCAAAGAATGTGAGCTGTGACATTGACACTCCATCAGCACCTGGCACATCCAAGAAATGTAAATTTGTTTGGTGTCACATCATCCAAGAATCAACATCCAAGAAATGTAAACTTAACTACTTGTCTTGAAATATATAGTAAAATCTGAGTCTATTGATTATACTTTAATTAAATACGATGTAAAAATATTTTTTATTTAATGTACGCAATGTGTGAAACGGAATAGATTTAGTGCTGGGGTATTTCTTGTATGATAAAATCAATTATTTCGGCGGTTCATTAATCGATTGCAGTGAATACTTAGNAACACACTACTGTTATAAATACTACTTAATTTTATTCAGTCAATTATTTTCGGCTTCCTTAAAAATACGTTTGATGTAAAATAGAGAACTTTTTGTTTTAAAACAGGTAGTAAAATGTACAACTTTGATGTTTAAGGCTATATTGAAGGTTTTGTAGTTTAATACATTTTTGTTCCGCCAATTATTCTGGGCTTCTTTTAAAAAATATATTAATTGATGTCAAGAAATATAAATTTTATGTTCACATTTTCCGGGAATAACAAAGTAATAAAGTAAAAGGCGATCGAGGGTTTCAATGAAGACTTCAGGGAAAAAGCTTTCAATTATTTTATTCTTCGAATCAAGTAATCAAACGATACAAAAACCACGTGATTTATATCAACAAAATTGTTAAGCCGGCACTAATTTCCTATACGCCCTAGGTATCGATAGTGCCATCTACGAAGACGCGGCCCACCATTCGTCCTAATTGTTTATAGTTTATGTGTGCATGCTTCCGCCAATGTTTGAGTGTTATCGGTGCACGCTAAATTATCCATGAGTGCACACGCACTCTACTCAATCAAACTCCTCGCACTTCACGCTTCCCTCGACCAAACATTGGTGGCATCGTCGTTATTGGCCTATTTATACATGGAAATTCTGTATAATTCCAACTTAAATGGCTGTGGGTATGAATAAGTTGTACTTAAATATTGTTAACACAAGAGCGGTGTTTGCTAACACAAGCAACTGTATGGTTAAAAGGAAACTCCAAACCCTGTATGTTATTTAATGTACTTTTGTAATGAAATAAAATATTTTGTATTTTGTATTTGTATTTGTGGGTGGGGCGCATAGCTCGTAGAGCTGATGATGGCCGCTGGGGCAGAAAAGTTCTCGAGCAGCGAGTAGCGACTAAGGAAGACGTATTATGGGCAGGGCTCCCACTAGGTAGACCGACGACCTGGTAAAGATCGCGGATAACTGGATGTGGGCAGCGCAGGACCGGTCGTTGTGGAAATCCTTGGGGGAGGCCTTTGTCCAGCAATGAACAACTTGGCTGAAACGAGCATAGGTACATACAGGGTGTCTCAAAATTAGCACGTCACACTGGAGGTAGCTGGACCTAAGTCGCATTGAACAAGCATAAATGTCCAAGTCCATACAAAAGTTTCATAAGTTTTGAGATATTATGACCAATTTTAGTTGTAAGAAAAATTCCACAGAAAAGTTTGATTAATTTTGAAATATGACTGATAGTAGCTGTTTTAAAAATTACTTATTATACTTGCCCGATGCGTCTTAGGCTTCATTTACCTCTGGTGTCAGTCGTCGTTTCAACCGAATGACTTCCACTGCTGGGACAAAGGCCTGTTCCAACGATTTCCACAACAATCATTCCTGCGTTGCCCGCATCCAGGCACTTCGCGTGACCTTCACACGACTGTAGACTGGTATCAGTTTGACGTGCTAATAAATGGGACATCCTGTATGATCTATATTCAAATTATATAATACAGCAGTTAGAACGTTGTACCGATTTAGGTTAATGACATTGATGCTGTGTCTGACGGCTGTTGTAGAGATTAGTCAAGCGATTGGTGAGATAATGGTGGCCATTAACAGTGCCTTCGAGGACGGATTAAGAATAAGGTGTACTGTACATTAGGTACCCAGGCTGTAGGCGATAATCGTAGCCATGACTTTAAATTACAAATGAATAAAATCCAAAATCTACCTGAAAATGCCAAGTGGCAGGTCGTGGTTGTTACACATAGACAGACCGCCATTTTTGTTAAGCATAAGGCAGGTATTTGACCACAATCGCACCTGGTGTTAAGTGGGATGAAGTCTAGGATAGCACATATTATCTGCTCTGTAAGTGCCTATTCACTCTAGCCTTGAAAAGGCCCGGATTTATCGACATGCACAGTTAATTAAATTAGACGATCAATGTTCGGAAAAAGTGCCGCCAAGCTTTGACGCACATACTAATAAACACTTTAGACTAAGAGGTTGTCAACGCCAGACTTATTTATTGATTGTTTTGACCGTTTCAACCCCTTGCCAGATAATCATTTTAGGGTAGCTGTCAAAGCCATGCTGACATAAACTTCATGACGCACCAACGTTCTTGCCTATGTTGGGAGCATGTGCTGACCAACTTTCAGCTTTTATAAAATAACATAGTCTGGCGTTCACTAGCTCTTAGTCCATATAGCCAATTACATACTGAACAAGATACCTAAGTGTACTGTAGTAATTTCTTTGCATCGGATTCGTTGTTTAATAAAAACTGCTGGCCGCTTAAGTGAGTAGCAATCCTAATACATAATAAGAAGTGTTCAAAAGGCACTGCAAGTTGAAAACAATGGTAACAACAATATTTTCGCCGTGCAAACCTGTCGCAGTTCTCCAAAACATATTAATACTGTTGTTCCAAACTTCCGGGAATTTTTCAATGGAACGGCGGAGTTTCGCCGTTTCTTGCCAAACAAAAACAAAGGGAATTAAAGATGTGTTATCATGGCCGTTCTGGGAATTTCTTTACGCTGGCTTGTGAACTTTGTTATTTCATTGTGATGAAAAGTTATTATTACATTATTAAACAGTTTCAACTAGGTACAAATATTGTAATTTTAGAACTAATGGCCGTTGGGGTAGAAAAGTTGACGAGCGACCACGGACCGGAAGACGTAGTGTAAGACTCACTCGGTGGACTGATGATCTAACAGAGTGGATAAAGACCTCCCCAAGGTTTTCCACGACTGGTCCTGCGTTTCTTGCATCCAGGCGCTTCCCAAAATCACTAAATGCGTAACACACACTCTATAGCTCATGCCTAAAGCGAGATTTGAGACCATAACAGTGGTTGGAGTTGTAGTCTAGTACGCAAACCACTAGCGGCCATCTTGCTAAATTGATCTGCTTTGAGAATTGTATTTAGTTCGTCCATCCATTGGGCAAAAACATTGGTACTTCCTTGTACAGTCTCAGCGTCAAATATTTCGTTACACCCAATGTGGTCAAATAGTTCACAACACAACCTTATTATTATTTCTTTTCTTACCGAATAGAGTCGCTTCTCAAACTAAACTTTAAGTCGGGACTCGAACCCACGACCTTCCGCTTGTCGGGCGACTGCTCTTCCAACTGAGCTACTAAGACACTGGATGAACCTGTCAAATTTTTTAAGGATACGCTGTTATGGCCGCGTTTTATTTTATCCATGTTGGGTACTACTGCCCTTTAACATCTAACAGTACAAATATTTGACTGTCAGTTAAGATGAAATGGTACTTTATTGTAGTGTAAAGAACTTTTTGACTATTTAGGGAATCATCACAAATAAGGTCTGAATGATGTTGACATTGAGATGAATATTTCATTAACTGAAACAAACTGTACACCGAACTTGAATGTCGTTGAAATATGCACCTTGTTTCCACGAAATTAGGCCTTCATTTGCTTAATGTAATTTGCCTTGAATTGAACATCCAGTTTAGATCAACTATTATTACGTCAATCTTTATTAATACTGCGTAGTTCGTTAATTGAAGTTAGCAGTTAACTGTTAACTCGTGAACTGTTAAATTGAGTTATAATTGACGTTGAATGATACAGAAATAATTTACTACTAATAATAATACGGTACAATAATTACATTATAATTGTAATCGACTTTGTGTTGACATTTATTTTAAACTTGAAAAATCGATTGACTCAGTTGGGTATTGAACCTACGCTCTTCTTTAGTTAATGCAAAAATGCTTAATAATTATTATTACTTGTTATCATTCCATTACCAGGCGTCCAAATGGAAATAAAAATAAAATAAGTAAATTACTAGATTTTTGCTAAAGACATTACAAAGTTTTTAAAATCTGGAGCCAAAACTATCCACAGTTACATTTCCCCAAAGTCATTTTTCAAAATGTAGGGAACCAAATCCAGGACCTCTAGATCAAAGGATAATAATTCTGTAACCACTAGACATAATCTAACTACTTTGTGTTACCAGCTAGAGCCATGGGTGGCACAGTTTAGAAGAGCGAAATAAAACATTTTTCATTTTCAATCATTCTGTTCAGTTTATTTAACTCTCGCGGGCTACCAAAATCATCTTTGCGGTCGACCGTACACCGCGGTCGATCTCTTGCCCATCACTGAGCTAGACGATTGACATAGTTGATTTAACTGAAAGCATTTCTATTGAAACATTTTCCCAAAATGTATGTCCAATCACATCCATCAATCCTGCTACCTTTTCCATCACCGTTAGTTGTAGGTACTTGTACCTATAATAACTCACTAAGAAATATCGAATTTCAGCTACAATACATTCGACAATCCTAAACCCCATTCCACACGTACTAAAGATATTTTATGAATAAGTTTGTGTGAGTGGATG